CTTTGTCCTTTCCTGCTCGCTTTGCTTCCTGTTATTAAATGTTAATAAAAGGAAGCTAGGAAATTCTTTCCCTATGACCGGCTTTATCACGGGTTGACTTCCTTCAGGAACTGCTTTCTTATTTCCCTTATCCGCTTCTTCTTCTAATAGTGGAAATAGGGGAATGACTAGCTCACTTCTGATGGTAACCTGGTTCATCCCACTCCCTTGAGGGCCTTTTGGAGTGGAAAACTCCAGATCCAGCCTTCTTTGTAAATTTCCTGTTAAGGTACATAGTCTACTGACTCCCCCTTTGGTCTCCAAAGAGATTTTTTCCATACTTCTCAGTACTTGTATCATAGTAGCCTATAATTCCTCATTCGTTCCTTTTCCTTCCGACTTCCTAAATGAAGATGGGCTTTCTAGGACCACCTATCCTGATGGGGAAGAAGGATTTCCTGATTGCTCTGTCATTGGTAGCAAATGTTGAGAAGAACCGTTCTTCGTACTCTTTTTGCAAATCTTATGGCCTTTTCTTTTCTTGGACATACAAGATCCACACAAATGCAATCCCACCGGGCGTGCCAAAACTATGTTCGTGGCGAGAATTTCCATGGGGAATGCTTCCTGGCCGACGAGCACACAGCTCCCCGAGAGGTTGGCGCCGGTTGATGCTTTCTATCGGGCATCTGCTTTACTGGCGGGCTTGTCAGGCAAAGCCTGTCGAGCGAGGCTTGTCTGGCAAGGCTGAAAGAGAAGGACAGAGTTAACTTTGAAAGGTTCATTTATGAGGCCTTAGGTGTAGGCCTTGAGGCTCACGATCAAGATTAACTTTGAATTGCTCAGGCGTGCCACTACCATCTTCAGCATGGCAGATGTAGAATGGATGTTTGAGTTTTAATTATATATATTTGAGAGGCTATGTTAGTCATTGACAGGTGCCTTTGTGGGGCCTTAGGTGTAGGCATTAAGGCTTCCCATAAATAACTAACTTAGTACTCAAACACATAAGGTTCCTTTTGTGGATTATATGAGTCTTATAACTATCATACTTCTGATCACATGAGCCCAAAGAGCAGAATGAATCCAAATAGGTGCCTTTGTGGGGCCTTGAATAGGCCTTGAGGCTTCCCATCAGAACCCCTTCCGTACTCAATGTTCTTGCCCGAGAAATAGGATGAATCCAAATAGGTGCCTTTGTGGGGCCTTGAATAGGCCTTGAGGCTTCCCATCAGAATTCATCCCGTACTTGAACGTTATATGGTCATCATAATATAACAGAAATGAAACTAAGTGGCAGGTTGATTACTTGCGCCCCAAGTAACTTCGGACTTCTTGTTTATCAAAGCTTGTCATGGATGGGTTAAGTCCACATTAGGTTCTTTTTTATGCCTTGAGGCCAAGGACTTTTTAGGGTGATCAAATCTTATATGCCCGAGGGCTTAGAACTTAGATCTGGCTTGAACTGTGAAGACATATTCAAATCGGATTCAAGCGTTGAGGGAGTCTTTTAATAGACATATTACTAGAAATAACTTGGATACAACTTGAAATATACAACATATTGCTAGGCTAATGAATGAAAAGACAAAAGCAAAGAAGGTCGGGCAAGGTTTAACCTTGTTGGGCAAGGCTGATCGTCTTGCAACTTCCTATCTTTGTGGGTTAACAGAAGGTTTGAAACTTAGAAAAGGGGTTGGGAGGTGAGTTTGCAGGAAGAAAATCGATACTATAGCAGGTGTTGAACAGGGTAGCAGAGCTATCACAAAGGGTTTGTCCCGAAAGGGATGAAGGCTTGGGCTGACTACAGCTTCGTTTTAAAGGCAAATCTGGCTTTGAGTAGAGTTTGTGCTTTTGTTTGTTTGTTTGAGTGTCTTTGATTCTGACTTCTCTTTCTCCTTTTATAACCACCTTGGCTTGGCCTCCTGTAACAATAATCTATCCCGAATGCAGTTTGAAGGATAGTGACTCATCAGCTATTTACTTGTACTGCCATCATAAAGTACTTTTGGGCTAATTAGCTGCCTGGTCTATACCACTTGGCCCTTGGGTAGGTGAGCAAGTGGTGCAAATGATCAGCACCTAGTCGGGAAAGGCCCTTTCTGCTTTCTAGGTTTGGGCTGAGTTTCGGGCTTTTTCTTCTCTTTTTGGGCCAACTCCCTTCCAAGCCCAAAGTTTAAGTTTCAACCCAAACACTAATCTCATGGCCAATTCAGATTCATTCCATATTAAGTATAAACTATACAAGTTGACAAAGTACTTGCTCTAGTGGGAGAATGTAAGTTCTATATGAGAGCAAACACTTGGTGATTTGATTAAAGACATTTGGAATGATAAGGAGATTAGGATTGACACTTGTGGTAGACTTATCAGGAATTGTATTTCTTTAGAGTTTCAAGTCAGATACATTCTTGGTAAAACTAGAACTCTTCTAGTTGATATAATGCATAAGTGTTTCATGGTGATAAGGCTGCTCCTTGATAAGGATCACTTAATGGGAGGGATCCTTATTGAATTCTATCATATGAAGTATAAAACCGAGGTCCCTGCTCTCTCACTAAATATGCAAATTTATAGAAAACTCAAGCCCCATTGAGCAAGCCTTGCTTTCAGTTGTGTAGAGTTGCAGAAGAACCTCAGTTTTTTAATCCTAGTTCTCTTAGACAATGTCTTCCACATGTAAGTGGTTAAGTTGATAACTATGAATAAGTTTTTCCGTTGCACTATTTACTTACATGTGCACGATGAGTCGCATCAATTTGAACGAATGAATCATGAGTATTGAATTGACAAAGAACTAGATTCAAAATTAAAAGTACTAGTAAAGTGCGAAATAGAAGTAAAAGCAAAGATAAGTAATTAAACAAAGGTAAGTAGTAGATAAACTGGAACGAAACCTAGTGAAGAATTGAAAGCGACGAACAATAATGATTTTACATATATGAATAGCAAGAACAGCGGAATGCAATAGTTTTGATGGTACTATTTTATACTTTAGACTAGTTGAAGATTTTTCACATCATCAATTAGCGTCCCTTTTGGTACCCTAGCCTTCCTTATCGCCAAGTTAATTCGATGTATGACCTTTTGATCCTAAGCGTTCATTTCCCTTTTTCGATATGTGTTGTGGGCATGATCAACGGTGTTGCTTAACCTGATGCTTCGCTTGTAAGCCTATTATTTGACATTCAAAGTTTGCAAAACCAATTGCGGTCAGTAAAATTTCTTTTTGCTCCATGTGTTTGTAATAAGGCAGCATATTTAGTGACTTATTTTGTTTTGAGGTTTGAGTCAGAATTATTGTTTAATACTTTGGTCTCTGATGTAAACGTTTCCGTTCAAATATAATGAAATTTTTGTCGTTAAAAAAAAATAATTATTTGCTTTTTGATGGCTTCAAATGATTGACCAATAAGGAGAAATTTTTTAGTGTGCCACTAAGTGTCATATTAGAAGTGGTTGGATATTTGAAAAAAGAATTTCCAACTACTTATATTATTTCACTTAGTGTACTAAACCGTATTTTCGAGATCTTGAAATATCTCTCACCAACAAGAAGAACTTCATAGGTCGAGGCCGAATGCATTAAATCCGCACTACGTAGTCAATCCAAAACGGATGCATTATCTAGTTTGTGAAATCTAACATAGATGCATTACTCGTCAAAATTTGGCACAATGCATTTCTTGGATAATCTGACACGGATGCACTCAGCACTTAATGGTTCACGTGAGAACTTCTAAAACTAGGTTCAAAAATAGAGTTTTTTAAGGAGAAATTAGGTTCTCATCCTTTCTTTTGCTACTCTATTGATTAAAATCTTATTCATTTTCAATTTTTGATCAAGGTCCTTGGATATTAATAATATCATTAATTATTTCAATAAGAAATTTTTTTTATTTCTAAATATATTCATTTAATGTTACAAATGTTACAATTAGTATATTTATATTTATAACTAAATTTTGTATCATATATTTTTAGTTTTAGTTTGTACCCATTTTTAATTTGTAATTCTTTTTTAACTTGTACCAATTTTCTTTTCAATTTTAATTTGTACCCATACATTAATTTCTTTTTGTGCCCATATATTTTAAAGTTTATTTGTATTTGTACCCATATATTTTTTTGTATTTGTACTTTTTATTTTGCTAAATGTACCCATGCTAATAATATGTACCCATTCATGTAAAACTTTTTAATCTTAAAATGTACTCATTCTTAAATATACCAATTTGTTATATGTAAAATGTACCCTTTTTTATATAAAATTTATTCAATTTTTTTCTAATCCATTTTAAACTTATATGGGTACATTATTTTTTCTTTGATTTTAAAATGTATCCATGTCAAGTTTAATTGAAGAAATTTACTAATGTTATTAAGCTTAATATCTTTATTTTATTTTTTTTGGTGATTTTGAAGAATGTACCCATGATACAATAAATTTTTTGGTTAATTTTGATGAATGTACCCAAGTTTATACACACACACACACAATAGTATATTTATATTTTAATATTTTTAATCTCACAAATTATAGTTTTTTTATTTATTTAAAATCTCGTTTATATAAACAACTAAAATTTCTAATTTTTAATTTAAAAAATATAGTAACGTACATATAAATAAATTATCACATTAATTTCAGGGACCTCGATCAAAAATTAAAAACCAATAAGGTTTCAATCAAAGAATATTCATAACTAAGGACCGCATCCAAAGTCTCCCGTTTTTTAAATACAAACGACATTACAACTTTAATTTACATTAAAAAAAAAAGAGAATGATTTGAACTCGAAATACAGTAGGATGAGGAAGAAGCCTTAACCACCATGAAAAGTCCATGGGGTCCAAACAGAGTTATATGGATTGTAGAGTTAAAATAGCAACAGGATTAACTATGCCCACTGCCCACCCTAGAGAGTTAATTAGGCTTAAATTTTGCGGATGTTTGGTACACTGTTAGGTCTAAGTTTCCCAAACACTTAACCAGTTTTTATATAACCAGCCCTCTTAATCGAAAAGAAGTGTCTTATATTATCTGCAGATTATTTCATCATGAGGAGTTTATTCCAAAATTTGATAGGCTACTTGTTTTTGGTTAGCTGCTCATCAGCCAAAGATGTTCCAGCTTTTTTTACTTTCGGTGATTCCATGGTTGAGGTGGGAAACAACAACTATCTTCAAACCTTAGCAAAGGCGAATGTTTCTCCCTTTGGAATTGATTTTGGAAAGCCAACTGGACGATTTACAAATGGGAGAACAATTTTCGACATTCCTCGTATAAGAATTTTCTGTGCTGTTTGCAATAATTTTAGAGAGATATGGACGTACAGTTGATTTACTTTTTTCTTACTTTGTTTTTGACAGAACAGGTTTTGGGTTTTAAAAATTTCACCCCTCCTTACTTGGCACCAACTACAGTTGGAGACATGCTTCTACAGGGTGTCAATTATGCTTCTTCTGCTGCTGGAATTTTCAACATTACTGGATTTTACTTTGTAAGTTTTCTGCTAAACTTACTGGACTTTATGGATTAATTGAATCCAAACTCAACGATTTTTTATATGCACGATTGCTCCACATTATTTTCTAATTTTTCTTTACATAATATATATATGCGTAAGGGGTGATCGAATCAGCTTCTACAGGCAAATAAGTTACCATGGGAGAACTACGGCAGCTATCAAGTAAAGGATTGGTATTCCTGCGGCTCAGAAACTGTTGAGAAAAGCAATCTAAGCGGTTAACATTGGTATTAACGATGTACAGATAATGGAGGCAGCAGCCTTTGCTCTGTCACAAGATACGTATTTGGATCGCTTGATTTCAACGCTCAGATTAGAACTTGAGGTAAAATTTGTTCCTCAAGAATTATGACTGAAAAATGTTAATGCCATGTTAACCAACCATGTACATCATGTCAAAGTTTCAAAGACGGTTCAGTGCGTCATTTACTAATCAATATCGATAAATTATTGCTCTCAACTTATTTACATGTGCAATCGTGTAGGATTTTATATAAAAGGTCTCAATGAAATTAATGGTAAAATCATTTAGTATCATTCAGTAGGTTTGCAATAATGGAACTTTACATGCTTCAAAACATCGAAATCTATTATAGACGTGAGGTTTCATCTCGATCAGAGAGGACAAAGCATGGTTAGTTGAGATGGACAATACATTCCTAAACGTTAAAAATGTTTGCGGGACTAATCACGTTAAGTAATCATTTTTTAACCATTCGTACGGATTTGGCCATTGATTTATTTGCAGACACTCTACAACTTGGATGCTAGGAACATTATTTTCAGCAACGTCGGACTCATTGGATGTATCCCGTTTCAGAAAGGTTTACATCTAGTTGCAAAGGGAAGTTGTGCAGGAAAACTAAATCAGTTGGCGGAGAAATATAACGAGAAGTTGAAGATCCTACTCGAGAAGCTTAACATAGATCTCGAAGGGGCAAACTTTATTTATGCAGATACATACCGAATGTTACAAGATATCACCCAAAATTATGTGTCATATGGTTTGTATAAATATCCTACGTTTTTAGACCTTTCATTCACAATCGCAGCATTGTTGATTAATTAATTTATAATCTAATTAACAATAATAGTACCTGGTCTGTTGTGTTTAATAGGGTTTGAGAATGCAAATTCTGGATGCTGCTCAATGGATGGGCTTGGAGGGGGAATAATCCATGTCAGGGATGGTTTAAATTTTGTCCAGAGAGATCAAAGTATTGCTGAAATGTAATCTTGTCTTGGCCCAAGACAATTGATCCGGTCCATACACAAAGAAAGATCCATGCACAAGCTAGAGAATTCTAGCAAAGTTCAAGTTGGTGGAAGAGTCTAGAAGAATGGTGAGGATTCCACCAACATACAAGATTAGTGTAGATAATTCTAGCATAGGAAGGTAGTGGAATTATCTAGATATCTCTAGCATGATGCTTCCATGCTTCTCCAAGGTTCCATCCATGCCTATAAAAGGAGAAGGCATCCACACCATTTGAAACAACCAAGAGAGCAAAGTAATGAGAAGTGAGAAGAAGCAACAAAGCTTCTAAGAGTGTTTGAGTGTTTGAGTGTTTCCTCTTGTACTAGTTTGTGAGTGAATAAAAAATTTTGTGTAAAAACTTTGAGTGTTCTTTCTTTCTCTTATCTATCAATTCCGCTGCGTTACATTCTTTTTTGTGAGATAAACATCTCCAAAGTAGTGAAGTCTTTTTAAGCCAAGTGGTACCAGAGCTATGGCTAGCAACGCTATGGCAGCCTTCCAAGTTCCAGTGCTCGACAACAACAACTTCGATAATTGGAGTATCAAAATGAAGGCCCTTTTGGGAGCACATGATGTATGGGAAGTCGTGGAGAAAGGCTACACTGAGCCAGAAGATGAAGCTACTATGTCCCAACCCTAGAATGAGAGTTTGAAAGATTCAAGAAAGAGAGACAAGAAGGCTCTCTACCTTATCTACCAAGCATTAGATGACAATGGCTTTGAGAAAGTCTTGAGTGCAACCTCTGCCAAGCAAGCATGGGAGAAGCTTCAAACCTCTTACAAAGGAGCCGAACAAGTGAAAAAGGTTCATCTTCAAGTATTAAGAAGTGAGTTCAAATCTCTACAAATGAAAAGGTCTGAATCAATCTCTGATTATTTCTCAAGAGTCCTAGCCGTTTCCAATCAATTAAAAAGAAACGGAGAAAAGTTAGAAGATGTTAGAATTATGGAGAAGATACTACGCTCGTTGGACCCCAAGTTCGAGCACATTGTTGTGACGATTGAAGAAACTAAAAACTTCGAAGAAATTAGTGTAGAGCAATTAATGGGTTTGCTACAAGCATATGAAGAGAAACATAAGAAAAGGCAAGGGAATGATGAGCAGCTCCTCAAGACGCGTGTCCAGCCAAAGAAGAAAGAAGAAAGCTTGGACAACGAGAGAAGCCAGTACGAAAGAAGTCGCGGTCGAGGTCACGGACGTGGACATAGACGTGGACGTTGTTGGAACTTCAACAATCATAACAACTACGAAAGAGGAGGAAGCTCAATAAATGGTCATGGAAGAGGACGCTCAAACTTGAGGTATGAAAAATCTCAAGTTCAATGCTACAATTGTCAAAGTTTGGGCATTATGTTTGGGAATGTAGAGCTCCAAGCAACAGACTTAATGAGAAGGTCAATTATGTGAAAGAAGAGAAAGAAGATAATGGCATTGTGCTACTAGTATGCAAGAACAATGATGGAAACCAAGACTATACATGGTACCTTGACACCGGCGCCAGCAACCACATGTGCAGAAAAAGAAGCATGTTCGTAGAGTTCAATGAATCGGTGAGTGGCAACGTTTCTTTTAGAGACGAATCCAAAATACCCATCAAAGGAAAAGGTAACATCCTAATTCCCTTGAAAAATGGCGGTCACCAATTAATTTCAAATGTCTACTACGTGCCCAATATGAAAAGCAACATTTTGAGCTTGGGTCAACTCTTAGAAAAAGGTTATGATATTCACATGAAAAATTATAGCTTTTTTCTTAGAGATGACAAAGGAAGATTAATTGCCAAGGTGAAAATGTCAAAGAATAGGATGTTTCCTATGAATATTCAAAATGATGTTGCAAAGTGCCTCAAAACATGTTACAAAGACACATCCTGGCTTTGGCATTTTCGTTTTGGGCATTTTAACTTTGGGGGACTGGAGTTATTATCCAAGAAGGAGATGGTGAGAGGCTTACTGCGCATCAGTCGCCCTGATCAAGTTTGCGAAGGATGTTTACTTGGGAAACAATTCAGGAAAAGCTTTCCAAATGAGTCAACCACAAAAGCCCAGAAGCCACTCGAGCTCATTCATACCGATGTGTGCAGTCCAATAAAACCAAGTTCTTTGGGTAAAAATAATTATTTCCTTCTCTTCATTGATGATTTTTCAAGAAAAACCTGGGTATATTTCTTGAAGCAAAAATCAGAAGTCTTTGAAGCATTCAAGAAATTCAAAGCCGCTATAGAAAATGAGGGTGGTTGCAAGATAAAAGTCATGAGATCTGATCAAGGAGGAGAATTCACTTCAAAGGAATTTCAAGAATTCTATGAAGCTAATGGAATTCGTCGACCTTTGACGGTTCCAAGATCCCCTCAACAAAATGGTGTGGCGGAAAGAAAAAATCGAACCATCCTCGACATGGCTCGAAGTATGCTCAAAAGTAAGAGATTACCTAAGGAGTTGTGGGCAGAAGTTGTATCATGTAATGTCTACCTATCTAATCGGTCTCCAACAAGAAGTTTGTGGGGAAAGACTCCACAAGAAGCATGGAGTGGAAGAAAGTCGGGTATCTCTCATCTAAGAGTTTTTGGAAGCATAGCCCATGTATATGTACCAGACGAGAGGAGAACCAAACTCGATGACAAAAGTGAGAAGTTCATCTTCATCGGCTATGATACAAATTCAAAATGCTATAAGCTGTATAATCCAAACAATGGGAAAACGGTGATCAGTCGAAACGTGATGTTCGATGAAGAAGGAGAATGGGATTTTGGCTCTCATGCAAGTGATCTTCGTTTCTTTCCTCAGCTTGAATAAGAGAATGAACAAGGGATGATGGAGCAAGCAAGAGAGGTTCAACAAGAATCCACTACTCCATCTGTTTCACCAACATCAACCAATCATGGCAATTCACCAGCATTAGCATCGTCAAGTGGGAACCTAAATGAAAGAGAAGTATCATGCACAAGAAGTCTACAAGATCTCTATGAGGTAGCTGAAAGACTTGATAATCCTACACTTTTATGTCTCTTTGCTGATTGTAAACCAGTTGACTTCCAAGAAGCAGTGCAAGATACTAAATGGAGGAAAGCAATGGATGAAGAAATTGAAGCAATCCATAAGAACGATACATGGAAACTCACTATTCTTCCGAAATAACACAAAGCCATCGGAGTCAAGTAGGTGTATAAGACAAAGAAGAATACCAACGGAGAGGTTAAAAGACACAAGGCGAGACTAGTGGCGAAGGGCTATAGTCAAAGAGTCGGAATCGACTATGATAAGGTATTTGCACCCGTTGCTCGGTTGGAAACTATACGATTTCTAATTTCTTTGGCTACTCAAAACAAATGGAAGATTCAACAAATGGATGTGAAGTCCACTTTCCTAAATGGAGTCCTTGAAGAAGAAGTCTACATTCAACAACCATCAGGCTATGAAATCAAAAGGCATGAAGACAAAGTTCTAAAGCTAAAGAAAGCCCTCTATGGGTTAAAACAAGCGCCACGAGCATGGAATAGTCGCATTGACAAGTACTTCCAAAAGAACAACTTCATCAAGTGCCCTCATGAACATGCTCTATACGTCAAAGTCAAAGATGGAGATATTCTAATTGTGTGCTTATATGTAGATGATCTAATCTTCACCGGAAGTAATCCAAGCATGTGTGAAGAGTTCAAGAGAGTGATGACCAAAGAATTCGAGATGACCGACATCGGGCTGATGGCATACTACCTAGGCATTGAAGTCAAGCAGAACAAAGAAGGCATTTTCATCTCTCAAGAAAGCTACACAAAGAAGATACTGAAAAAGTTCAAAATAGATGACTGCAAGCCCATAAGCACACCAATGGGGTGCAGATTCAAACTAACCAAGTATGACGAAGGAGAAAGTGTAGATCCAACATTTTTCAAGAGTTTAGTTGGAAGCTTGCACTACTTGACATGCACAAGACCAAACATTCTATATGCTGTCGAATTAGTCAGTCGCTACATGGAGAATCCCACAACTACACACTTGAAGACAGCCAAAAGAATTCTTCGATACCTTAAAGATACGGTTAACTTTGGCTTGTTCTATTCAAGTTCTGATAACTACAAACTTGTTGGGTATAGCGACAGTGCTTGGGCAGGAGATTCCGACGATAGAAAAAACACTACTAGATTTGTGTTCTTCATGGGAGACACTGCATTCACATGGATGTCGAAAAAGCAACCGATTGTCATTCTCTCTACCTGCGAAGCTGAATACGTAGCTGCTACCTCATGTGTCTGTCATGCAATCTGGTTGAGAAACTTACTAAAAGAATTAAGCATGCCACAAGAAGAGCCAACAGAGATTTATGTCAACAACAAGTCTGCAATAGCTCTAGCAAAGAATCCAGTATTCCATGACAAGAGCAAACACATAGATACTCACTATCATTACATAAGAGAGTGTATTGCAAGAAAGGATGTGCAAGTGGAATACGTGAAGTCTCAAGACCAAGTCGCCGACATATTCACCAAGCCACTCAAACAAGAAGACTTTGTTAGATTGAGGAAATCAATCGGCGTCACAAGACAAGATTAAGGGGGGATGTTGAAATGTAATCTTGTCTTGGCCCAAGACAATTGATCCGGCCCATACACAAAGAAAGATCCATGCGCATGCTAGAGAATTCTAGCAAAGTTCAAGTTGGTGGAAGAGTCTAGAAGAATGTTGAGGATTCCACCAACATACAAGATTAGTGTAGATAATTCTAGCATAGGAAGGTAGTGGAATTATCTAGATATCTATAGCATGATGCTTCCATGCTTCTCCAAGGTTCCATCCATGCCTATAAAAGGAGAAGGCATCCACACCATTTGAAACAACCAAGAGAGCAAGTAGTGAGAAGTGAGAAGAAGCAACAAAGCTTCTAAGAGTGTTTGAGTGTTTCCTATTGTACTAGTTTGTGAGTGAATAAAAAATTGTGTAAAAACTTTGAGTGTTATTTCTTTCTCTTGCCTATCAATTCCGCTGCGTTACATTCTTCTTTGTGAGATAAACATCTCCAAAGTACTGAAGTCTTTTTAAGCCCCAACAAGTATGTATACTGGGATCCATTCCACTTAACAGAGGCTGCTAACCTCATTGTTGCAAAACATGTAAGGGACGGTGATTTAACTTATATGTCGCCAATGAATTTAAGACAACTTGGGCAAAGTTGAATACCAAGACTGAGTGAGCTTTCACGAAGTTCATGACTTCTTGTACTTCCTGAGTTATCTACGGCTTTAATCAAAGAATACCAAGACTAATTGGATGAAGCTATTTTTCAATTACTCAATTAAGCAGCTCAGAAAACCCACATGCAAGCACCGAATTTTTTACATTAAGCCCTTTTGATTACTTCACACGTATTATTTTTTAACTGTATAAATATCAAATGCTCAAATTAAACACATAATGGTTAGTGGAGACTTCTAATTACCTGGAAATATATAAAATGGAGCGGGATTCTTTCAATTTTTTTGCGGTTTAGAACTAGGTGGAAAAGCAAGTTATTGGGGTCAACGAAACCCAATGCACTCACCCTCCCTCTGCTACTACTCTTAACCACTTGAGCTATAAATTTATTGCAATAAGAATATGTACGATCAAAAGCATAACAAATAATGCCAATGGTTATGGTACAAAATTTTCTTTTTCCAAATTTCGCTTCCAGAAAACCTGTTGCCAAGAAATAAGATTAAACTTGTATGCTGGATCCAAGCTTCCTAATAAGCTAATAGCTTCAGTCATCATCTTTCAAGTAGGCAGAGAATAACCAATTTGGATTCTCTTTCGACACAAATATTCCTATAATACCTTTGCAAGGCAGTTTTAAGACCATCTCTGAGAGTGAGGGCCATGGTTATGAATGTTGGGAAACAGTTGCAAGGAACAGCAAAAGAGATGATCAGCCCACGGGTTGATACAGAAACATCATGTCAGAGGAAATTCTTATATATAGTAGCCATATAGAATGTATTAGAGTAGCAATTTACATAAATCGAACCTAGGACAATCTTTTATCTCTATGGCATTTGTATCCCGTTGCCGGTAACTCTCTCATGGCCCCATTTGGCACCGGCCAGTCACGCAGCTTATAATGCCGACTGGTTTATAGGTATTGCCTAAACTACTCTTCCTGTAAAAGCTTTGGTTTAGACTTTGAGTCGTTGCAAATTTGTATGAGGCTAGACTTTGAGTAGTTGAAAGAAATAACTAGTGCACGGACTTCACACTAGGGTTCCAACTTTGGCCACTTTTTGTTTCTATTTTTGGTCTGATATATGCAAGTGGAACTTTAGTCACTTGAATATGTGCTTCTTGTGGCGTTGAAACTGTACACCAGCATTGTCACCACGGGTGGTTGCTGCTAATTTTGTAGGGCAATCAATGTTTACAAACAAGATGAGTGTTAGGATCGGGTGCATTTATGTCACAACCCTCAAGTGGTGATAATGATCACCACTTTATTTATCATTGTTGGATAAGTTTGAAGTTTGAGATTTGTGTTTATTTTCTATACAGCTTTCGAAATTTAAACTCATCTAACGATGATAAATATGATGATGAATCACCATCACTTAAAAATGGTGAACAAAAATATTTTCGTTAGGATCAGTTGTGCGCAAAGTTGATCATGACCGTTCAAACTTTATGTTTTAGCATGTGCACGCGTGCACGATTAATCATATCATTTCCCTTACAAACAAACTTGACATCTTTTTTTACTTTTTTGTTTTACTCCACACAAAGCTCACGCAATCCTTAATCATCATGATACATGATCTTTATTATCATCCAGGTATATGTACTTAAAAAGTGGGTTTAATAAATCTTCTTTTGTAAATTGTAAATGGTGTGACATATTTTGGATTTTATCAAATGTGAAAATGTGAAGAAATGTCTCGCATCGGAAGTTTATCAAATCTTATATATGTTAATAAATAGTTGAATTGTCAATTAATTTTATGGTGAAACTTCTGCGACTTCTTCCTTTGAAGCTTATGAGTTTATCTTCATTTTAGTTAGTTATAATTTTGGTATTTTGAGATACGCTTTTGCTTTAAAATTGAAAGCTGGTCAAAGCACTCTAACTTAGCAGCCTGCAACTAATCAAATTTCCTCTCATTATATATTTTCAATTTTCATGTATGAATAGCTGCTGATATTGCCTCCTTTTAAGGTGTGAAACTTTTGTATTGACCTTCTTCACATCCTTTGCAATGGGTGGCCTATCAAATAGAACAGTCACTAAGCTCGGCATTTTCTTCCAAATTTCAACAATTTTTGTGTTTTTTTGGAGAATATGCTTGGCAAAATATGTTCCTGCAAATTTTGTGTTTGGGGATTCTCTGGTCGATGCCGGAAATAACAACTACCTTGTGTCACTCTCCAAGGCCAACTATCTTCCTAATGGAATCGATTTCGGAAAGCCAACTGGAAGATACACAAATGGAAGAACAATTATCGACATCATAGGCAAGTTCTCCATTTTTTAATTTATTTTGTTTCTGGTTTTCTTCATTCTTTTTAATTGATTTTAGTTTTAACAGGTCAGCAACTTGGCTTCAAGGGTTTCAGTCCCCCTTACTTGTCTCCAACAACTGCTGTGCCGAAAGTTCTGCAGGGTGTAAATTATGCTTCAGGTGGAGGTGGAATTCTCAATCACACAGGAAAGATTTTTGTAAGGCTTCTTGTGATATATACTCAATGTTTGGAGTTTTTATTTATTTGTACATACACTGCTTTGATGTGACGTAAAAACCTCGTGTAATTTGATAGGGAGGTCGATTAAACATGGATGAACAGCTAGATTTCTTTGCTAATACCAGGCAAGACATTATCTCCAGCATTGGCCTTCCTGCAGCTCTGCAGCTATTAAGCAAGGCTCTCTTCTCCGTAACAATGGGCTCGAACGATTTCATTAACAACTACTTGACGCCGGTGATCTCAGCTCCTGAGCAAAAATTTATACCTCCGGAAACATTTGTGGGAATTCTGATTTCAAGATACAGACTACAACTCACAGTAAATTTACTTTCGTTTTCCTTTAGTTTGTACATATGAATATTCGGCATTACAGGTTTAGTTAATAGACGCGTTACCCTTGCAGAGACTGTACAATTTGGGAGCAAGGAAGATTCTTGTGACAAATGTAGGACCAATTGGGTGCATACCCTATGAGAGGGATACAAATCTTGATGCAGGAGATTCCTGTGTCGAAAAACCAAATCAGTTAGCGCAATTGTTCAACCCTGAGTTGAAGAGCCTTCTCACGGAGCTTAACGCCAACCTTGAGGGATCCAAATTTGTGTATGCAGATGTTTATGGCATTGTAAATGACATTACTCGGAACCACATATCATTTGGTGAGAATGAGAAGGCATAAGAGAATTTTAATTTTTTATAACAATTTTTTCTTACGAATCAAAGCAATGCAGTGCTTGAGTGTTTTTGGTTATGTTAAATGCAGGTTTTGTGAACGCAAATTCTGCATGCTGTCATGTGGCGGGGCGCTTCGGGGGTCTGATTCCGTGCGGTCCTCCGTCCAAAGTTTGCAGGGAGAGATCAAAGTATGTGTTCTGGGATCCCTACCATCCTTCTGATGCTGCTAATGTAATCATAGCAAGACGTCTCTTGTATGGAGACTCCAATGACATTTCACCCATCAATGTTCTGCAACTCATTCAGTCTTAAATCTGTTGGCTGGAACAAAAGTGCAGTTAAATGAATAATGTTAATTATTCTACAAAGAATTTAGTAATTATTATTTAATTATTATCCTTTTTTCTTCTTCTTTTGGGTTCTTAATATATAAATCTCATTGTTTTATTGGGTAGTAATTGCCAGCATCGTTGCAACAAAAAAAAAAGATGGGAAAGAAAGAGTGCATAAAAAGAATGTGCCCAGAAGAGCTTCCTGATTATATAATATTGTTGTAATAAGCTTCATGAAGAATAAATGAGAGATACGCAGTGGATTGTCTTAGTGAATATGACCTCTCTTTTTTTTAATTCATTGCGTTCAAACCCGGTTCATTCTGAATTTTTACATAGCTTATTGTAGCCAACTGATGGGCAACCTTGATACCATTTCTAGGATTGGACGAAATGAATGACAATTGAGTCGCTAAAGTCTAAACGCTTGATGTCATCGATAGGGGTACCATATAAAACCTAGCACAACCCATCATGTGTTAGAATTCACTGCACAAGCTTGAGCATCAGTCTCCACTTCCACATAAACTGAAGATGTCTAACTGCCATTTCCATCACCTTCCGCTAGAAACATCCAGCACATGGGCAAGCCCAAAAAATAGTTAATTCTCCTTATTCTTTCCTCATCACGACGAAAATGATGGCTTCCATGCAACGGATTATTAAATTACTACCACTAACTACGATGTTTAATTCTCTTTACCACATGACCCATCAATAACTGCCACTACTTCTGTCACTTTCGACGACAAACGTCCAACACATGGGCAAACCAAAGAATCTATTAATTCTCTCGAGTCATTCCTCGCCATGATGATAGTAAACTTGTGTGCAATGGATTCATTGTCACTGTTTCATCTTGTAGATAGTCATATTGATGTCCATGTCCACATAGAAGACGCGATGCCTTCATTAGTGATGTTACGTCATAAAGGCTCTTTGCCACGAGAGGTGAGAAGCTGATGAATGGCTTTCCACAAAAATAATTTGACTTTGAGGACACAATACAACTTCTCCACTCTCGGTTTGTTCTTGTCTTGTCTAGTATCGCTTCTATAAAAATGAATGTACCAAATAAAAGCGAAATTGGGTTGGGCTTTCAATTTGATTATATAATATTGTTGTAATAAGCTTCGTGAAGAATAAATGAGAGATATGCAATGGATTGTCTTAGTAAATATGACCTTTGTTTTTTTTAATTTATTGTGTTCTGAGTTTAAACTTGGTTCATTCTGAATTTTTACATAGCTTATAGTAGCCAACTAGCGGGCAACCTTGCTACCATTTCTAGGATTGGACGAAATGAATGATAATTGAGTCGCTAAAGTCTAAAAACGCTTGATGTCATCGATAGGGGTACCATATAAAACCTAGCACTCCCCGTCATGTATTAGAATTCACTGCACAAGCTTGAGCATGAGTCTAACAGCCATTTCCGTCACCTTCAGCTAAAAACATCCAGCACATGGGCAAGCCCAAAAACAAGTTATTTCTCTTTATTCTTTCCTCATCACGATGAAAATGACTTTCATGCAACATATTTACTAAATTACTGTCACTAGCTACGATGTTTAACCCTCTTTACCACATGATCCATTAGTAACTGCAACTACTTATGTCACCTTCGACGACAAACGTCCAACACATGGGCAAACCAAAGAATCTATTAATTCTCCCGAGTCATTCCTCTCCATGATGATAGTAAACTTTTGTGCAACGGATTCATTGTCACTGTTTCATCTTGTAGACAGTCATATGGATGTCTATGTCCACATAGAAGACGTGATGCCTTCATTAGTGATGTTACGTCATAAAGGCTCTTTGCCACGAGAGGTGAGAAGCTGATGAATGGCTTTCCACAAAAGTAATTTGACTTTGAGGACACAATACAACTTCTCCACTCTAGGCTTTGCTCTTGTCGTGTCTAGTATCGTTTGTATAAAAAAGAATGTACCAAATAAAAGCGAAATTGAGTTGGGCTTTCAAAGTGTATTCAGACCCGTTTATCTATTTCTTCAGGCCTGTAGTTGAGGCCCGTGAAGCCCATGGTCCATTATTTGGCTGGCCCGCGCCACACTGAATTGTCAGTTTCACCGTGGCGGCTAGTGTCAACTAAACAAATCGTCACGATGACTCGTCCACGCATTCCAAAGCAAAAACGACACCATCCGCACGCATTCAAATCCGAGTTCATCCGATTCAGCCCCAATCCAAAACCCAAATCCATTTCTCCCTAAACGCCGCCGTATTACCTCCCAAGATGGCCCGCCACCAATCGTCGCCGGAAAATCTCATACTTGTAAACCGCGAACCGACCGGAATCGCGTTCGTGACGATCAACCGTCCCAAGTCGCTCAACTCGCTGACCCGGCCCATGATGACGGACCTTGCCCAGGCCTTCAAGGCCCTAAATCAAGACGAATCGGTCCGGGTCATCGTTCTGTCTGGGTCCGGTCGCGCGTTTTGTTCCGGCGTCGATCTCACCTCCGCCGAGGACGTTTTCAAAGGCGATGTGAAGGACGTGGAGTCCGACCCCGTTGCCCAGATGGAGCGGTGCCGAAGGCCCATCATCGGAGCAGTTAACGGGTTCGCGGTCACCGCCGGGTTCGAGATCGCGCTCGCCTGCGATATCATCATCGCGACGAAAGGAGCTAAATTCCTGGACACTCACGCTAGGTCCGTATCAATCCCTTCTTTCATTTCAGATTTCGGATCTAGAATCGAAGTCCGAATTGGTACGCAATATCTCTAACCGTTTCTGCTTGTTTGGTTTGAAAATAGATTTGGGATATTTCCGTCGTGGGGTTTGTCCCAGAAGCTTTCGAGGATCATAGGGCCCAACAAAGCGCGCGAAGTGTCGCTGGCGGCGACGCCGTTGACAGCGGAGGTGGGCGAAAAGTTGGGGTTCGTGAACCACGTTGTGGAAGAGAGTGAGTTGCTGAAAAAAGCTCGTGAAGTAGGTGAGGCCATTGCGAAAAATAACCATGACATGGTGTTGAGGTACAAGGCTGTTATCAATGACGGGCTTAAGCTGGACCTGGCCGATGCTCTTACGCTTGAAAAGGTGCCCATTTTACCACTAACATACCTTTTACTAACAATGTTGGTTTAGATTTGCCGTCTGCACTCGTAAGTGATAGGTCTTATGATCGGGGAGTTGGGAATTTAATTATTATGGTCGATAGATTGCGTGACTTAGCTCAAATTCTGCACTCCAAGTCCTAGTATGTAATGCTACGAATGTTGTTTTAGCGGGTGTTTGTTCTTATTCATGACGATGTATGGACATGTTTTGATTGTTAAATTTCAGGAGAGGGGTCATGAGTATTACAAGGGAATGACCAAAGGCCAGTTTAAGAAGATGCAAGAGTTCATAGCAGGTCGGAGTTCGAAAAAGCCTTCTTCCAAGTTGTAGAATTTCCATACCGCTTCCCTTCCACTGCAAGCGTAAGAAAGTTGGGCTGTCAAACTGGTGGGAATGACTTCATCTTTCCCTTCAAGTAGACACCATTCCTCATCACACTTGTTTAATTAATGTATTTGGGCGCGTAATAACATATTTTTCTTCGTTCAAGTTACAGTTACAGGTTGTTTACGGGAGCTGTTATTGGTATTCCAATTATTTTTTTAATGCGGGTCTGCCATTACTTGAAGCATTTGCTAAAATATGAACCAAACTAAATCAGGTATTACATTACATGAAAATATATCCACGTCCACCCGCAAAGCAGTTGGCAGAAGGATCTTTTTCAGTACTACCATCCTGCCTCGGTCTCCTCTCATCTCTTTCATTCTCGTGCTAACTCTGATGAGACGGGTGGGGAGAGCGGTCAATCGCTTGAAGCACAGAGCATGCAAGCACGGAAGCGAAGCTGCCTCCAACGCCATTACACACGAAGCCGTGTCTTCCCTCGAAGCCATTGGAGATTGCATCTGTGCATCACTTTGGTGCTGCTGATCTACCACTTGTCCCTCAAATCCAATCATTCATTCCTCGCCGACCAACTTCCGCCAGCTCCCTTTCCTTTCCTCTGATGCTCCGCCAGCTCCCTTCCCCTTCTTTTTTAAGTCCGGTTCTATTACCACACTTAGGCAGTCACAGCCGTTAGATATGGTCCATACAGAATGTTCGCACCTTTAATCCGCACAAGAGATGGCCAAAAAGATTGCGGATCATTTGAGCCCAAGTGTCAGCTACAAGCACCGTTCTAAAAATTCTCGCCTAGGGCTGCCTAGGCGTTAGGCGGCAGGCTAGCATCCCAATTAATGGCGTTTAAAAATTAAGAAATTACGTATAAATCTATTAAGGCGTTCGTCTAGACCATTCAGGCACTCGCTTCACTTAGATAGGGAATAGATATCTTTCATTTTGCATTTTAATTTTTTCAATAAATTGTAAGAGACGTGTTGCATGCTTAAATAAACACACATTATACCTTTATTCTCCATATTTTCATTATGTTCCAATATTTCATAATATGTATGTGTTGACCCTAAAAACTACCAAGCCTACATGGCACGCAGGTCGAGTAATCTATGAGCTAACTACGTCCTTCAGTTGTGTGCGGGGCGTGCCAACTCGTCGGTCGAGCTCATCCGAGGAGTAAAATATGTTGATGTTGTGATGAGTGCGAGGCTGACTTCTGCGTCTTGCGATTGCGACCAAGGAAGGAACACGTCTCGGCCTCTTGAGTTCTCGAACCTAAAGACAAGGCTACTATTCTTACGAAGTTCACAAATCGTCGTCGTCAGATTCAGTCACATTGATGAAATTCGTCAGAGTAAACTCATGCTGAATCAACACCAAAGTGTAAGGGCACAAATACTCAAAGCAGATATATGGTTCGGCTGTCGAAATGCCGAACTCTAAATCTCACTTGAGAGTATCCAATCATAAACTAACTCGGCGTGCAATGTGCCGAGCCTAATAAACCGTAACACCTCACTTCGCCGAGAAGGCTAATGAGATGACCTCACCAATAAAGATTCAGAAATCCTTTTCGACCGAGACTTGGATAGATAACCAGTCACCCTCGACGCAGTGCTATCTATGCCGACTGAAGATGTTGCGAGACCGGCTGGTTCCACGGTGACAGTGTTATCTATGCCGATTGAAAATATCATCGGTTGCCTTCACAGTGCTGTTTATCCAAACTAAAGCTGTGTCGGCGAAAAAAGAAAAATATAAAGTCTTAAGGTTGTTGAGAGAATTTGCGCATGGTAGTTGTGTGTTGAATTGAAGGGGCTTTGAACGATGCACAGCCTTCTCTA